AAGGTACCAGGGGCATCTCATTAGGCCCTCTACTGACCCCGGGCCCTCGGGTAGTGCCCGAGTTTCCAAATGGTCAGTCCGTTGTGTGAAATGTGGAGGCCCTCTGATGCTTATTCTGAGTTCATATGGAAACCGTAGCAAAAAGAATTGGCAAAATTTCAACCAATCCCATTGGCTCTGCAATGCAGTCTACTATGAGGAACAATGCATGTATGAATTTTATTGTAGTGTAAAGAGAAATTATATCTCAAAAGGTTGTGATGAGAATGGACTAAAACAGGGGCCTCCAAATTGCAGACCTTTGCTTGGCTTTCCGTCCCTTGAGTCACTATTCCTCTCACTGTCGCCAAAGTTAAATCACCACTCCTTCCACTGCACGGCACAGCCATCCAAAGCAGTGTGATTACAGTGAAGCACACAGACACGGCCCCCTAGTATAACACTCCCTGCACACAGTTAACCCTTTGATCACCCCTCATGCTAACCCCTTCCTGCCCAGTGCCATTAGTACAGTGTCAGTGCTTTTTTTGTTGCACTGAACACTGTATTGGTGTCACTGGGAAAGTCAATGACATCAAGTCAGTTCCCCCCAAGTGTCAGAATGTGTACTGCAGTCCCACTATAAGTCGATGATTGCCGACATTACTAGTAAAAATTAAAAAAAAATAAAAATCCAAGTACATATACCACCATTTGTAAACGCTATAACTTTCACGTAAACCAACTAATTTACATTTATTGGGATTTTTTTTTTTAGCAAAGACATGTCGCAGAATACATTTTGGCCTAAATATATGACGAAATTTGATTTTTTTTACTTATTTTTACTGGACATGTTTAATAGTAAAAATGTCAAAAATATTGTTTTTTTCTCAAAATTGTTTTTTTTTTATAACGCCAAAAATAAAAACCGCCCAGGTGATCAAATACCACAGAAAGAAAGCTCAATTTGTGGAGAAAAAAGGATGGAAACTTCATTTGGGTGCAGTGTTGCATGACCGCGCAATTGTCAGTTAAAGTAACACAATGCCGTAACACAAAAAATGGCCTGGTGAGGAAGGGGGGTACTGTAAATCCTCAGGAGAGCAAAAACAAGACTTTAGTATCACTTTAAAAAGTCAACACAGCATGACATTACCATCCTCAGTAAATTCATGGACAGTTTGTAAAAAATCAGTTATTTTTACAACTGTCTGTAAGTATCAGACGGTTGGCAACCTTGGTATGAACATAACAGAGAATGCATTGCATGATGCCGTGATGCATTCCAATGCTACTTTTTCTGCAGCAGGCAGATTGGTTCTTTACCATGGCAGAAATGTCGGTACCACTGCGGAGCCCATCTTTCTCCATAAGTGAGCACCAACAGCCCTGAAGAAGGGGGAGGCAATTCCCCTGAAACGCGTTGGCTCAATCTGTAGGTTTTTATACACCTAATAAAAAAGATTGTAATCCTACATCAAGAGTTGCATTCATTCTGGACACCAGGCACTCTTCTCTCCTCGCTCAGCCATGATACCTTCTTCTGATAACATCCAAAAGGTAAAAAATGTTTTTTTTTATTTATTTTTTGGTATGCTCTGTAAATGAGAAGACTAATGCAGGCCATAGATGGTTCGTTTATTGGCCGATTTTTTCGTCCAAAAGAATAATCGGCTGATTTTTGCACTGTTAGTGGGGCAATGGCATTGGCCGATTTCCGTGGTTCCTCCTCATTTAGTTTATCGGTCATGCTGGAAAATTTGTGAAAAAACGTCCGATTTTTGAAAACATTGGTGGCAACAGCGGGTTACAGAACGAACGATGTTTCGTTTTTTTCGGACAAAATAAAATCGGCCGATAAACTAACCGTCTATGGCCTGCATTAACAAACATATAGTAGAGTTGTATCAAAAGTGGAATTAGGCTTTAAATTTTAATAACTACAGTAGCTAAATGGTTAACAGTTCTACCTGGCAGTACTAGGGCTGTTGGTTCAAATCCCAACCATGGCACCACCTGCCTGGAGTTTGCATGTTCTCTCTGTCCCTGCGTGGGTTTCCTCCCACACTCCAAAGACATGCTGGCAGGTGAATTGGCTCCTCTCTAAATTGGCCTTTGTATGAATGTGAGTTAGGGACTTTAGATTGTACGCCCCTTGAGGGTCAGGGATACAATATATACAGTTGTGTTCAAAATAATAGCAGTCAGACATCACTAACCTGATCAATCACTGCTTTTGGTAGAAATGATATTTCTACATGGCAAATAATTTACTAGCAGGTGTAGTAGAGTAATAGAAATCCAACAGACCCAACAGTCATGACATGCATGCTGCTGATTCTGTGTAATTGAATCACTAATTGAAAGGGGCATGTTCAAAATAATAGCAGTGTGGAGTTCTATTAGTGATGTCATTCATTCTTTGAAAAACAGGTGGCAATTATTGCCCTTATTTAAGGAAAGAAGGCAGCAAATGTTGTACATGCTGGTTACAGTGCATTTCTCTCTCTGAATTCTGAGGAAAATGGGCCATTCCAGACATTGTTCAGAAGAACAGCGTACCTTGATTAACCACTTTCCTACCAGGCACTTATACCCCATTTATTCTCCAAGATCCTCTCTGATGCCCGCCTCACCACCTGCCCCCTCGACCCTATCCCCTCACAACTCCTACGACCTTCCTCCTCTCCTCCATCCTACGCTCCCTCACCCACATCTTCAATCTCTCCCTCTCCTCAGGCACTTTCCCCTCCCCTCTGAAACATGCACACATCACCCCCATACTTAAAAAGCCCTCCCTGGACCCCAATGACCCGAACAACCTCAGACCCCATCTCCCTGCTCCCATTTACATCTAAACTCCTCGAGCGCCTAGTCTACACCCGCCTATGCTCTCACCTCAACGACAACAACCTCCTCGATCCCCTACAGTCCGGCTTCCGTCCCCTACACTCCACCGAAACTGCCTTACTCAAACTCTCCAACGACCTGCTAACCGCCAAAGCTAATGGCCACTATTCAGTGCTCCTACTCCTTGACCTCTCTGCGGCCTTCGACACAGTCGACCACCCCCTCCTCCTCAAAAAAACTACACTCCCTCGGCCTCAGAGATTCTGCTCTCTCCTGGCTCTCATCCTACCTGTCACAACGCTCCTTCAGCGTTACCTATAATGCTACCACCTCCCCCTCACTCCCCCTCTCTGTTGGGGTCCCTCAAGGCTCTGTCCTCGGGCCCCTTCTCTTCTCCATCTATACCTCCTCCCTTGGCCAACTCATACACTCTCACGGCTTCAACTACCACCTCTATGCCGACGACACACAAATCTATCTCTCAACCCCCCCACCTCACCCCCTTGGTCTCAGCCCGAATCACACACCTACTGAGCGACATATCAGACTGGATGTCGCTCCACTTCCTTAAATTGAACCTCTCCAAAACCGAGTTTCTTGTCTTCCCCCCCAGCCCGGACACCACCCCCCATTGATTTCTCCATCACATCCAACAACGCTACCATCAAACCCGCCCCGCAGGCCAGAGTACTGGGTGTCATTCTGGACTCCAACCTATCCTTCCAGCCCCAAGTCCAATCTTTAACAAACTCGTGCAGACTCCACCTCCGCAACATCGCCAAAATCCGCACGTTCCTAACCCCAGAAACCACTAAACAGCTCATCCACTCCCTCATCATATCACGACTCGACTACTGCAACTCCCTCCTCACTGGCCTGCCTCGCCGCTGGCTATCCCCTCTTCAGTCCATCCTGAACACGGCTGCCAGACTCATTCACCTTTCCAACCGCTCTGTCTCCGCCACCCCCCTCTGCCAATCCCTCCACTGGCTTCCGATTGCGCAACGGATCAAATTCAAAATCCTAACGCTGACGTACAAAGCTGTCCACCATACTGCCCCGTACTACATCTCTGACCTAATATCCAAGTACCGCCCAACACGCACACTCCGCTCCTCACAAGACCTCCTTCTCTCTAGTTCCCTGGTCTCCTCCTCCCATGCCCGCCTCCAGGACTTCTCCAGGGTGTCACCCATCCTCTGGAACTCCCTGCCCCAACCCATCAGATTATCACCTACTCTCCTCTCCTTTAGGCGCACCCTGAAAACCCATCTCTTCAGGGAAGCCTACCCCACCCCCTGCTAACTTGCCGACCTCCTCCACTCTTCCAACCACTCCATCCCCCACAGCTATCTCCTCCTGTGCCACCACCCCCTCCCTCCTAGATTGTAAGCTCGAAAGAGCAGGGCCCTCGATCCCCTCATGTTTTGCATTGTATTGGTATTGTTCTGTCACATGTTCTGTCTCCCTTTGTAATGTACAGCGCTGAGCGAACTATTGGCGCTTTATAAATACTGTATAATAATAATAATAATAATTTACCAGGCCAATTTTCAGCTTTCAGCGCTGCCGCACTTTGATTGACAATTGCGCGGTCATCATGCAACATTGTACCCATATGAAATTTTGATCATTTTTTTCTCACAAATAGAGCTTTCTTTTGGTGGTATTTAATCGCCACTGGGCGCTTTACTTTTTGCGCTATAAATAAAAAAAGTGCAAAAAAATTTGAAAAAAAAAAGTTTCTTTGTTTCTATTATAAAATTTTTCAAACAGGTATTTTTTCTCCTTCACTGATGTGCGTTGATGAGGCAGCACTGATGGGCACTGATAGGCTGCACTGATGGGCACTGATAGGGAGCACTAAAGGGCACTGATAGGCAGTACTAATGAGGTGGCACGGATAGGCGGCACTGATAGACAGCACTAATGAGGTGTCACGGATAGGCGGCACTAATATGCAGCACTGATAGGCAGCACTGATAGGTGACACTGATGATGGGTACTGATAGACGGCACTGACTGGCATCACTGCTGGGCACTGACTGGCGGCACTGGCTGGCACAACCCCTGGGCACTGACTGGTGGCACTGACTGGCAGCACTGCTGGGCTGCACTGGTGGGTGGCACTGGTGGGCAGCACTGGTGGGTGGGCAGAGATGGGTGGCACTGGTGGGCACAGGTGGGTGGGCACAGGTGAGTGGCACTGCTGGGCACAGGTAGGTGGCACTTCTGGGCACAGGTGTGTGACACTGCAGAGTGGCACAGGTGGGTGCACTGCTGGGCACAGGTGGGTGCACTGCTGGGCACAGGTGGGTGATCTGCTGGGCACCGGTGGGCGGAGCTAGTGGGCGCACTGCTGGGCACAGGTGGGCAGAACTTGCGGGTGGCACTGCTGGGCACCGATCATCAGGGCACTGATCATCAGTGCCCTGATGATCGGTGCCGATCCCCGCTCTGACAACTGCCGGTTCTCGGCAGTACTTTCCTCACGATCTGACAGCGTGAGGAAAGTGCAGCCGAGAACCGGCACTTGCATTTCCCTCTGATCAGCGTGTCATTGGACACTGCTGATCAGGTGGTAAAAGGCCGCTGTGATTGGCCTTTTACCACATCACGTGATCAGCTGTGTCCGTAGGACACAGCGATCACGGAGATCGCCGGGTGCGCGCCCCCTGGGGCGCGCAGGAGAGCGCGTTCTGGGAGGACGTCATATGACGTCCACTCAGAACTGGCCGGCCGCAGTGTAGCCGTCATTCGGCTATCTGCGGTCGGCAACTAGTTAAAAAGTTGATTGGAAAGGGAAAAAATATAAAAAGAAGTGCAGAAAATGATAGGCTGCTCAGCTAAAATGATCACAAATGCTTTAAAAATGGCAACCAAAACCTGAAAGACGTGGAAGAAAGCGAAAAACTACCATTCGAATGGATAGAAGAATAGCCAAAATGGCAAGGACTCAGCCAACAATCAGCTCCAGGAAGATCAAAGAAGGTGTAAAGTTCCCTGTGAGTACTGTTACAATTAGAAGACGCCTATGTGAAGCCAAGCTATCTGCAAGAAGCCTCCGCAAAGTCCCACTGTTGAAAAAAAAAGACATGTGCTGAAGAGGTTACAATTTGCCAAAGAGCACATTGACTGGCCTAAAGAGAAATGGCGCAACATTTTGTGGACTGATGAAAGTAAGATTGTTCTTTTTGGGTCTAGTGGCCAGAGACAGTTTGTCAGACGACCCCCAAGCACTGAATTCAAGACACAGTACACTGTGAAGACAGTGAAGCATGGTGGTGCAAGCATCATGATATGGGGATGTTTCTCATACTACGGTGTTGGGCCTATTTATCACATACCAGGGATCATGGATCAGTTTGAATACATCAGAATACTTGAAGAGGTCATGCTGCTTTATGCTGAAGAGGAAATGCCTTGAAATTGGTGTTCCAACAAGACAACGACCCCAAACACACCAGTAAACGTGCAAACATCTTGGTTCCAGACCAACAAGATTGACGTTATGGAGTGGCCAGCCCCAATCCCCGGATCTTAATCCAATAGAAAACTTGTGGGGTGACATCAAAAATGTAGTTTCTGAGGCAAAACCAAGAAATAGAGAAGAACTGTGGAATGTAGTCCAATCATCCTGGGCTGGAATACCTGATCACAGGTGCCAGAAGTTGGTTGACTCCATACAACACAGATGTACAGCAGTTCTCAGAAACAGTGCTTATACAACTAAATATTCAATAAGTGATTCAAAAGGAAAGCAAAATCTTCAAACATTTTTCAGTTTATACAGTCAATGTTTGAGTTTGTAAAGAAGAATACAAACACTGCTATTTTTTTGAACAGTCTAATATTCACTTTTCTTCAATTTTTTTTAGAGGAACAAGGATTTTGAGCTTTATTCACTTTTTTCACTGCTATTATTTTGAACACAACTGTATATAAAGTTCTGTGTAAAATTGACAGCGCTATATAAGTACCTGTAATAAATAAACTGCTAATTATGTACTAGACTGCAAACACCTATGACATAGTCTACATGCTCATACCTGCCTTGGACACGACAAGAATTATTATCTAAGCTTCTATTTGAGCGACTCCTAAACCGAGTTCATCATTTGTTACTACTTTCTAATCAGTGGGAATAAACCCCGAGCTCCACATTTTGGTCTCCACTCCTCATTTCCAGCTTCCTGACACAAATCATACTGCTATAAAACACTGTATACATTTTCGTTTTTTTCTCAGAAGTGGGGCAAAGGCCTCCTTGAATGTGAATTCACTACAAAGCCCATGACCTGGCAGGCTGGAGCTGCTTTTCATGGAGTCCTGACAGGCAGCAAGATAAAATACAAGCTGAACATGCAGCCAGATTAGCATTTGTCTTTGTTACCAGGGCTCTTAAAGGAACAGTACTTTATGTTCCGTGAAAATAAATAAACAAATAAATAAACTAAGAGTTGTTTGTATCTGGACTGACCTCATAAGCCATGTAACTTCAGAAACACAACAACATTTCGTTATGTGAAAGAAGGAACACTAAGGAGTTCGTTCACACTGCAGCGGGTTTATGGGCCATTGGGTGGCAGTTCTGGCTCTTGCCCAACGGCCATAAACCAACTGATCTTACAGTGTGTACTGAGTTAAATGATTTGGTTTGTGGTTGGGGGCAAGGCATCGGTTGTGGCTGCCTGAACGCTAAAGCAGCTTTCAGGCAATATTTTTTTATTTTTCCTTTTACAGCTTCCCCTAGAATGGAGGTCAGCAACCTGTCCATCGTGAGCAAGTGACTGGTACATCACATTCCCTTCTTGCCGAACCCCTGGAATCTGGATAGGGGGGGCAGCGGGGGTAGAATTTACTAGAACCAATCTCTTATAATTTCCCCCCTGCAGCAGCTGAAAAGCCTGCTTCTCCCCATATGGGAGAAAAATATTCTTCGCAAACATTTTATTCTTTGAATAATTTTATACTTTGAAAAACATATATTTGAAATAATACAATTTTGGCCATATTCAATATACATACAATATATATTCAATATATAGTTTATTTTTGACTATTTTCTCTCCAATTCAAATGCATTCATAAGTATCAGGAAAATACTGCATTGTGGCCACTAGATGGAGCTGATGATAATAGAAAATAAATACTTATTTTCTAATCTAGTGGCCACAATGAAGTATTGTTCTGATTCCTATTTATAAATGCATTCCAACTGGAGAGATAATAGCCTGAGAACATTTGTTTTTCCCGCTTTTGCACAGAACGAATGTGTACGCAAGTTTACACATTTTCTTTATCAATACACCCCTAAGGGACCATTATTTGGGTGTGGTCCAGAGATCAGCTTTTTACACTGTCGTTAAAATTTGCATAATACAGGGCTCTAGATTTGGGGATTCTGGGATACTTGTGCAGAAAGGGTATATGTCGGCAGCTGTGTAAATTCCTGATTCCACTTCAATGACTTTAAAGACTTAACAGGTTTAGTTTTAAATGAAAAATGTGACTCTGCCCAATCGTAGTGAACTCAGCTACAGCCTTCAAGCATGAAAGTGAAAAATCACTCAGCGTATTTGTATAAAAAATTTCTGCGCTGATTCAAATACCAAACAAAATGAACAGAAATTACAAAAATTAATATAAAAATCAGAATTGCGGTAGCTATAGACGTGTGTGTAATTATAATCCGACATCACCACATAATAGTCCTTCATACAATGTCTGTTAGTAAAACTGTGAAAAATCCACCAGGCCACAGACTGTTCAATTTGGTGGGATCAAATTGTGTAATAGCTTCCACCAGTCCCCTATGGGCATATTTTCACCTTATGAATTGACCCTCGTGACAAAGGTCTTATTGCACCTTTAATCAAAATAAATTTGACTCCATAAACCCAGCTGCATTCTCCCAGGGTTTAAGCATTCCTACCCAGAACACTTACTCAGTAAATCTAGACCTCCTCTCAGCTCAGGTGATAAAGCATGGATCAGTGCTCAAAAGGATACAAAAACTGACATAGTGCTCACTGAAGTCTTTTTATTAACAAAAGAAAGAAAGAAAATGCACTCACATAATTACTGAATAATCTCACCAATATCACTGTAAGACCATTCCAATGCCGCTCTGGTGGCTGACTCTAACATTCACAGTATACAGATACCTCCGGCTGCTTGGAAACCTCTCTCGTAGAGCGCAAACGAGTCGCAAGATCGGTCATGGATGCGGCCTAGGGAGTGCAGCCAGAGGAATCTGTATATTGCCAATGTTGGAGTTGTCTACCCAAACAGCATAGTCTCCTTCCTCTGTCACTCCTGACAGTCTATGCTGACACCAAGGGAACCCAGGGAGAATGCCTCCCCCCCTGCACACAGCCAGGCTGTATTTACCACAAGGCAAACAAGACACTTGCCTAGGGCGTCATTTTTTTTTAGGGGGGCAGCACCTCCCCCCAGAAGAAAGAATGAAAGAAGGAACATGCGCACCATGGGAATCAGGTGGGATCTGAGAGAGGCTGTGGGCTGCTTCATGATGTATGTAGAGCCTTACTCTCGTTCCCGGGGATGTCCGGAGCTGTGAAGATGAGCGTCTCTCTATCGCCAGGGGGGTAGTAGAAGGCTCTCCCAGGTGGGGGGCAGGGGTGTTGTTGGTCAATGTTAGGCTGTCTCCGCAGGAGGGGGAAGGGGGGTGCTGTTGGTCAGTGTCCGTGGGGGCAGACGAATTTTGTGTTGCCTAGGACAGCACAAAACCTAAATACACCACTGCACACAGCAAGGGATTGACAGCCTCAGCTGTGCACGTGAGACTGTGTAGAAGGTGGGTGTGTCCATTGTCTCTGCTCAGGTCTCGGATTACACTCAGCTCCCTGTTCTATGCTGTGTAGTATGTGACATAAGATCCCCACCCCCGGCCTCTGGAAGCTCCAGAAATGCTGTGTAAAATAAGCACTTTGAACTGCTCTGGAAAAGAAATGGCTGCAGATAAACAAGTGCAACTTATGTAGGAGGCTTTGTTTCATTTCTGTGTATCACCTGAGCCAGTCACTTCACTGGATATATGCAAGGGTTTACAACCACATAAAGGAAGAGGACATGTGTGAGGAATGTTTTTACTGCTGCATTCTGGTTTCCTTTGTACTGAAGGGGGAGATGTTTGTACTGGGAGACCAAAGAATGTGCAAGACAGTAAAATATGTGTGAACTTTCTCAGTAGCTCTTCTGAAAATAGGCCTGATTTTTTCAAATGAGGACACACATCCCCCTCCCTCTCCTAGCAGCAACAAGAATGTCCTAATTAGTCAGTCTGTAAAGGCTGCCAAAAAGGATTTCTGGCCAGTGCTTGGCTTTCTTATTAGAAAGCCCATCATGTTTTATTTAAAGCAGAGTTCTATGTAAAGTCTGAAACCATGTCTGAACACTGTTACTGAGATGAAGCATAAACATTTTTTTCTACTTGTGCTCTATCTCAGTTATTGGTCATCCCACCTGACAGAGCCTTCTTAGTTGGCACCAACATCATCAGTGGGCCACTACAAGGAGCCACTTCACCGATCATCAGTGTAACGGGAAGTAGAAGGAAGGTGTGGGGTGTTAGATCTCTTATACCAGCGGGTGTAGGAATTTGATGTGCAAGGAGTGAAGCACCAAAAGCAGAAAGTCCAGACTTCATTTTATTTTGTCTTGTATAATAAAATAATGTGTTCTGGGGGTTCAAAGGCTGATCCTTCTCCAAGGCTTGGTACTGTTGAAGTAAGTGTATGCTGGACTGGTAAAATTTGGGGAATCCTGAGGGATCATTACTATGATCAGTCCTAGATCAGCCTTTCTCAACCAGGGTGCCTTGAGGTTTCCTCAGGGGTGCCTTGGCAAAATGTCTACAAATTGCCCAAAAGTTGTATACAAGCCAGCAGGTGGAACAAGTCTTCCTTTTAGTTACACAAAGCCACAGGTTTTCATTGTACTCCATTACGACCTTCTAGCCGCCAGAGTCCTGACAACCAATGACATCATCAGTTGATAAGGAGGATGTCATCTGCCTGCGCAGCATCCTAGTTTGCCCCTCCCCTGCCTCTCTCCATCAGTGTTGGGGTCACATTAGCCCAGTGATGGAGAAAAAACTGAGGGAGAAGAGAAACATTGGAATACTAGTCAGTACCAGTGTGCAAAAGTGTATTTGCTTTGGAAGAATAAAATCACCTCTAATGTTGGGTGTCCTACATGTGTGGATGTTGCTGCATTATATGAAAACCATTAGAATAGTCTTTCACATTTTAGAATGGGGTGCCTCAAGACTATACATAATTTTAAAGGGTGCCTTGGGAATGTCTTTAATTTTAAAGGGTGCCTTGACTGAAAAAAGGTTGAGAAACACTGTTCTAGATGTCACTTCTGTTTTCACCTCTGTTTTTTCGGTTTAGATGTGCTTTAGCCAGTTGCTGCCCACCCACAGTACATTTACAGCGGGCAGGTGGCACGGGCAGGCTGGATCACGTACATGTACATCATCCAGACGAGGGGTTTGCAGTGCACAACTCCTTCAACCGCTATGTCCATCGGACACAGCGGATTGTGGATCGTGGTAACCAGCTGCTTTAGTTGGCCTGGGATGTCATGTGATTGCTATGCGATCACATGATCTCAAAGTCAACACAACTGTTACAAATGGGTTTCATTCATAACAGTTGTACTTAGTATTGTGAAGCTCTGATTGGCCAACAGCTATCACATGGTACCTAGGCCAGCTGCAGCACCTGTACCATGTGACAAGCACAGCTGTTATGAATGTAACCCATTCATGACAGTTCAAAACATTGCCCCCCCCCCACCAGAGTAGTACAGTGTCACTATGGTGACAATGAAATAATCTGATAAAAGTATGTAAAAAAATTGTAAATAAAGAACAAAAATGGTAAAAAAAAAACTATTTTGAAAATTGAATAAAAAACGACTTACTTTTTATTAATTTCTTTTTTTTTAACATACTGTCACCAGTCAGCATCCCTGATCACCGCCACACCAGTCATATGATGACGCTGTACTGCGCTGAGGACAGTATGTATAAAAATTGTGAAAGAAAAAACACATTTTATTTAATTTCTTAATTTTCCAAAAAATTGCGGCAAAAAATTACAGCTTCAAAAAACTCACCATGCCTCTTACTAAATACTTCAGACTGTCTACTTTCCAAAAAGGGGTCATTTGTGGATTATTTGTACTGTCCTGGCATTTTAAGGGCCTCAAGAATACATTTTGGCCTAAATTTATGAATACATTTGATTTTATTGGATATGTTTTATAACAAAGTAGAAAATATCTTTTTGGGAGGTTTTTTCGTCAACATTTTTGGTCTTTTTTCATTTATATAGCACAAATAAAAAAAACCCAATGATCATATACCTCCAAAAGAAAGCTCTATTTGTGTGAAAAAAAAATGACATTTCACTTGCGTACAGGGTTGCATGACCGAGCAATTGCCAGTTAAAGTTTTGTCAAGTGCTGTGCAAACTGTTGGCGCTATATAAATCCTGTATTATAATAATAATAATAATAATAATGAAGTAGCACAGTGCTGAATAGCAAAAAATGGCTTGGTCATGAAGGGGGTAAAACCTTCTGGAGAGTAGTTAGTGTTTCTAAATTCAAATTTTTTTTCAACCCTAATGCATTCCCTGCATTAAGGTACAAAACATCCCACTAACTGTTCTACCCACCCCACATCCCTAAAAAGTTACCTGACACCTGTCACCAATCCAGCGCTGTCCCAGCTGAGGAACCATTCCCCTCACTTTCTGCTTTCACATGAGACACTGAGGGCAGTGAGAGCCATAGGCTCCTGCTACTGTCAGGCATACTCCTAGGAGGAGGGGGCAAGGGCGTGGCTTACCGAGATTGCATGTGTCTATGGACGCACACAGCCCATCTCAGAAGCGTGTGTGCACTAGTGCCTCCATAGCTCCAGGCTTGCTAAGGAGGTACTCAGAGCAGAGAGAAGAGGAGGTAAAGGACCGCTCTGTGCAATAGTGCACAGTGCAGGTAGGTATAACATCTGTTTTTATTTTAACACTTTCCCGCCCAGCCTATCGCAAAATGACAGACGCTACGGACGCAATCTGTCACCGGCTGTGTCCACCAGACATGTGACCATTGTGACCAATCACAGCAGATCACATGACAATTGCAAACAATGAATAGCTTTGATTCATGCCATTCATTGTCTAAAATTGTGTTGCTAGCTGTGATTGACATGGTACAGACAGGGCCAATCACAGCTCATCTGTACTATGTGATTAGCTGTGGCCAATCACAGATAATCACAACAGTGCTTACTGAATGAATCTTTTTTCATTCAGTAAAAATGCTTGCTTACAGCAATGAAATTCACTGCTTTAAGCAATCATAATGTGTAAAAAAAATACTGATCACTTCCCCAGAATAGTACAATGTTTCTGTGGTAACATTATATTGCTCTGGTCGTTAAAAAAAAAAAAATGTGGAAAAATATAATAAAAATAGTTATTTTTTTCTCTTCGTACTGTCACCAATCAGTGTCCCTGATCACCACCACACCAGTTATATGGTGATGCTATACTGCACTGGTGACAGTATGTAAAAAAAATTGTGAATACATTAGATTATTTTTTTGCAAAATTTTATAACAGAAACGAAGAAAAAACTCTTTTGTTTTTTATGAATTTTCAGTCTTTTTTTATTTATCAAAAAATTAAAAAGCTAGTGGTGATTAAATACCACCAAAAGAAACCTCTATTTGTGTGAACAAAATGATAACAATTTAGTTTGGGTACAGTGTTGCATGACCGCAGAAGTGGCCCAGGCAGAAAGGAGGTAAAAAAACAACATATTTCCATGCAAAAAATGTGCCGCTTTGAGCCCAGAAATATTGACATAATCAGACCGCTAGGGAGGTTAAAGGCTAGGTTCACACCTTTGCACGTCAGGGACATGTGCTGAATCTCTTGCTTTCCCAACATGCACAGAAATGGGCTGCCCTTTAGCAGGTGCGCAGCAGTGCCATTAATTGTTAAGTTGCAGTTCAGTGCGGTGCGTTTTTTGAAAAATGGTCAGGGACTTCTTTTTCATGTTTCTTGCACATAGGGTAGCTCATTAACCACCTCCCGCCCGCCATATAGTCCAATGACGGGCGCAAGGTGGTTCTGTCATTCTGAGAGGGCATCATATGACGTCCTCCCAGTCTCACTGCGCATGCGCGGCTCAGGGAGCGCGCATCGATCGGTGGTGCGCTGTGTCCCTCGGACACAGCGGATCACCGATCCATGGAAAGAGCCAAAGATGTAGGCTCGGTCATGTGATCAGCTGTGTCCAATCACAGCTGATCACATGTAAACAGGGAAATGACGGTTATCGGCATTTCTCTCCCCACGAGCTGTCACGCTGACAGAGGAGAGCCGGTAATCGATATTCCTCGGAGGGGACATCTACACTGATCATAAGGGCACTGATGATCAGTGTAGCCCCAGCAGCACCACCTGTCAGTGTCCATCAGTGCCAGCTGTCAGTGCTCATCAGTGCCACGTGCCAGTGCCCATCAGTACCACATCAATGCCACATATCAGTGCCCATCTGAGCTGCCTTTCAGTGTCACACATCAGTGCCAGTCAGTGCCACCTATCAATGTCAATCAGTGCCACCTATCAATGCCTATCAGTGCCGCCTAACAGTGCCAGTCAGTGCTGCCTAACAGTTCCAGTCAGTGCCGCCTATCAGTGCCATATATCAATGCTGCCTTTCAGTGCCCATCAGTGATGCCTGTCAATGCTCATCAGTGCCACCTACCAGTGCCTCCTCATCAGTGCCACCTATCAGTGTCCATCAGTGCAGCCTATCAGTGCCCATCAGTGCAGCCTCATTAGCGCACATCAGTGAAGGAGAAAAATCACTTATTTACAAAATTTTATAACAAAAACTAAAAAAACTTTTTTTTTCAAAATTTTCAGTGGTTTTTGGTTTAAGAAAAAATAAAAAAACCCCGAGGTGATTAAATACCACCAAAATAAAGCTCTATCTGTCACAAACAAATTATAAAAAATGTCATATGGGTACAGTGTTGCATGACCGCACAATTGTCATTCAAAGTGTGACAGCGCTGAAAGCTGGAAATTGGCCTGAGCAGGAAGGGGGTATAAGTGCCCTGTAGGATTGTGGTTGAATTGAATGGAAACGTACGCATGCTCAATCGCACCTGTAGTTGTGAATCTAGCCTAAGGCTGGCCATACATTATACAATTTTCTTGAGGATTTTGCTTTAGATTTACCAAAAACCATATAATATGAGACAGGGGCTGACTGACCATTTGGAAACTCTGTCAGTAGGGGGCCCCATGAGATGCCCCTGGTACCTTTTTCATAGGCTTTTTTGAGTTTGGGCAAGGACACAGGGGCCCCATGATCCCCTACTGCCCGGGGGCCCCATGAGTTGTCAGTCCGCCCCTGATATGAGGTCAAACCTATACAACATTTTCAGTTGTATCCATGTAGACAGGCCCTTGTACTATATAGTTGAATTTATATCTAAAGGAAATTGGACAGAAAATTTGTATAGTGTACGGCCAGCCGAAGAACCTACGGAGTCATTAACCAAGAATTAGTATGCAGCCAGTAAAGTCAGAGGGAGATCAGAATTCCTGGCGCTTGTTTTGGGCCTCTGATTTGGACAACAGAGACTCCAGTGAGAATGACGGCCAGACACCTGGCATTTTCAGAAGGAGCTCAGAAACAGCAGTCTTCCCTCAGGAAATGGGTCGGTTTTGCCATTGTTGGACTTTTTATCTTCAGCAAGGTTCTCTATGCAGATTACAGAATGATTTCCTTGTTGCACGGAGGTGTTTTTTATATTTTTAATTGTGGGTAAAATGTAAGCGAAGCCAGCTTCTCCCCGCACAGCCAGGCACAGAGGAAATGAGCACCAGAGCTGAGAATGTTGCCATGTTGTTAAACGGTGTGTTTGGGAAGTCAGCGCTCACTTTCATGGGAATGAGATCCATTGCCAAGCTGAAATGCCTCAGATTTCCCCAGGGGCCACTTCTCAGCTGGGAAGGAGGGGGAGGATTTGTGTGAGAAGTCCAAGCAGGCAGTAATAAAGCTCTGGATCTCTATCAGTGTGTGTCAGCAGTGGTAGGAAGGAGCAGGACGGGGAGAGCAGCTCGGGCCTGCAGTAGTGCATGTGGTATTCATTTACTTATGGCTTTGTTAGACAAGGTTCAACCTTAAAAGCTCCCTGTGTAGGCTTTATGGAGACATAAGTAAAAGTATCAAGATGGAAGATTACATTAGCTTTAACTAAATGAACCTGAAGCTCTAGGGATGTTTATTCGTATGTGTCTGGTAAAGGGATGGTCCAGCCAAAAAGAGAAGAAAAACTCCTTTCACGCAGTTATTATTATTATTATTATACAGTATTTATATTATTATATTTATATATTATATTTTATTTTTTATTATATTATTATATATTATTATTATTATTTTATTATTATATTATTTATATTTATTATATTATTATATTTATATTATATTATTTATATTTTATATTATTATTATTATTATTATATTATTATTATTATACAGTATTTATATAGCACTAACAGGTTTGCTCAGCGCTGTACAATATAGTACATGAGACAATACGGTAACAATACAATACACGAGGGGTTCGAGGGCCCTGCTCCTTGGAGCTTACAATCTAGGAGGGAGGGGGTAGTGGTACAGGAGGAGATGGCTGTGGGGGATGGAGTGGTAGGAGGAGTGGAGGAGATCGGCTGTTAGGTGAGGGCGGGGGGTAGGCTTCCCTGAAGAGATGGGTTTTCAGGGTGCGCCTAAAGGTGAGGAGGGTAGGTGACAGTCTGATGGATTGGGGTAGTGAGTTCCACAGGATGGGAGAAGTCCTGCAGTCGGGCGTGGGAGGTGGAGACCAGGGAGCTAGAAAGTAAGAGGTCTTGTGAGGAGCGAAGAGTACGGGTTGGGTGGTCTTTGGGTATCAGGTCGGTGAGGTAGTTTGGGGGGTAGCGTTATGAATGGCTTTGTATGTCGGTGTTAGCAGTTTGAATTTAATGCGTTGGGCAATCGGGAGCCAGTGGAGGGAATGACAGAGAGGGGTGGCAGATGCGGAGCAGTTGGTACGGTGGATAGGTCTGGCCGCTGAGTTCAGGATAGACTGAAGCGGGGATAGCCTGTGTTGGGGTAGGCCGGTCAGGAGGGAGTTGCAGTAGTCCAGACGTGAGATAATAAGGGAGTGAACGAGTAGTTTAGTAGTGTCTAGGGTTAGGAACGAGCGTATTGAGATGTTGCGGAGGTGGAGCCTGCATGAGTTTGCCAACAATTGGACATGGGGTTGGAAGGACAGGTTTGAGTCTAGAGCAGGGGTCTGCAACCTTTAAGACATAAAGAGCCACTTTGGACCCGTTTCCGAGAGGGAAAAAAAAGACTGGGAGCCGCAAAACCATTGCAACATTGAAAACAAATCCGACACTGCATATATTGCAAAAAGCTCTCTGGTCATGAAGGGGGTTTAAGGGCCCAGTAAGCAAAGGGTTAATCAGGGCCACAGTGTATCGTCATAATCACAATCATAGCCTTAGGTCAGTGGTGGGCAACCTTTTTTTTCAACTGAGCCAAATCTCGCCAAAACCACGATTGAAATTTATTTTGAGAGCCACATTTTTAAAACTGAAAATACATCCCCCATATAGTAATTCATCCCCCATAGTAATTCATCCCCCATATAGTAATTCATCCCCCATATAGTAATTCATCCCCCATAGTAATTCATCCCCCATATAGTAATTCATCCCCCATATAGTAATTCATCCCCCATATAGTAATTCATCCCCCATAGTAATTCATCCCCCACATAGTAATTCATCCCCCATAGTAATTCATCCCCCATATAGTAATTCTTCCCCCATAGTAATTCATCCCCCATATAGTAATTCATCCCCCATAGTAATTCATCCCCCATATAGTAATTCTTCCCCCATAGTAATTCATCCCCCATATAGTAATTCATCCCCCATAGTAATTCATCCCCCACATAGTAATTCATCCCCCATATAGTAATTCATCCCCCATATAGTAATTCATCCCCCCTATAGTAATTCATCCCCCTATAGTAATTCATTCCCCATATTGTGTCAGTTCACTTACCTTTGCTCCGCGCGTTCCTCTCGCCGTGTTCCCACGCCGTTCCTGTCTTCAGGGCTGACTTTGAGAGGAGAGGAGTTCGTCACGCTGCCCCGCCTACATCCTGACAGCCAATGTTTGCCACACTCCGCGGGCCGGATTAAAAGGTCCGCCGGGCCGTAGTTTGCCCATTGCTGGGCTAGCTGCAGAGTCCGGACTTTTGGGGCGGCCGCCCGAGAGGAGGGAGGGGAGCGGGCGCCCGGCACACAAAAGACCCTATTGCAGGGGTGGGCAAACTTTTTGACTTGAGAGCCGCAATGGATTCATATATTGGACTCGGGGGCCGGACCAAGAGTAGATGAATGATGTGTATGTGTCATCCACAGTAAGTATAGTAATATTCCCCCATAGTAAGCATAGTAATTAATCCCCCATATAGTAATTCACCCCCCATATAGTAATTCATCCCCCATATAGTAATTCATCCCCATAGTAATTCATCCCCCATAGTAATTCATCCCCCATATAGTAATTCATCCCCCATAGTAATTATCCCCCATAGTAATTCATCCCCCATAGTAATTCATCCCCCATAGTAATTCATCCCCCATATAGTAATTCGTCCCCCATAGTAATTCGTCCCTCATATAGTAATTCATCCCCCATAGTAATTCATCCCCCATATAGTAATTCATCCCCCCCATATATAGTAATTCGTCCCCCATAGTAATTCGTCCCCCATATAGTAATTCATCCCCCATAGTAATTCATCCCCCATAGTAATTCATCCCCCATATAGCAATTCATCCCCCATATAGCAATTCATCCCCCATAGCAATTCATCCCCCATAGTAATTCATCCCCATAGTAATTCATCCCCCATATAGTAATTCATCCCCCATAGTAATTCATCCCCCATATAGTAATTCATCCCCCATAGTAATTCATCCCCCATATAGTAATTCATCCCCCATAGTAATTCATCCCCCGTATAGTAATTCTTCCCCCATAGTAATTCATCCCCCATATAGTAATTCATCCCCCCTATAGTAATTCCTCCCCCATATTAAGTCCCCAAGTCCCCCCTGTGTCAGTTCACTTACCTTCGCTCCGCGCGTTCCTCTCGCCGTGTTCCCGCGCCGTTCCGGTGTAGCATGAAAATCTGTCTCCTATGAGGATCTGTCCCCCTCGACGTATCTGCGCATGTGCCAGTTTCAGGCATTAGCAGCCAATCGGCGATCTCCGGCACATGCGCAGATACGTCGAGGGGGACAGATCCTCATAGGAGACAGATTTTCATGCTACACCGGTCTTCAGGGTGGACTGTGAGAGGAGCCTAGCGGGAGCCTAGCTCCGCGGGCCGGATTAAAAGGTCCGCTGGGCCGTAGTTTGCCCATTGCTGCCCTATTGCCTGTCACCTGGTGGGCAGTGTGCTCTGGAGCCGCAGCCAAGGTGAAAAAGAGCCGCATGCGGCTCTGGAGCCGCGGGTTGCCGACACCCGGTCTAGAGTGACACCTAGGACTTTGGCTTGCAGGGTGGGACTGATGGTGGCATTGTTGGTCATGATGGAGAGGGTGGGGGGGAGGGGGGCACGGGCTGGGGGGAAAATCAGGAGCTCGGTTTTGGAAAGGTTCAATTTGAGGAAATGGAGCGACATCCAGTCTGATATGTCGTTCAGTAGGTGGGTGATACGGGCGAAGACTGAAGGGGTGAGGCGAGGGGCGGAGAGGTACATTTTCGTGTCATCGGCGTAGAGGTGATAGTTGAAGCCGTGGGAATGTATCAGTTTGCCGAGGGAGGAGGTTATGATGGCCACTGTCTTGCTGATCTCCCGACAGATGAGAAAATTATCAAATAATGCAGCTTTTAAAAAAATGAGCACAAGGGACAATACTTCCAGTAAATAGGATGTGTCCCTTGTGCTGCTGGTTTTTCTATTGGCAGAGATCCTCCTCCATCGAGCGTAATCTTCCGGTGCGACAGGGTTACCCATATGGAAGAAAAATATATTTTAAAAATATTCTTCCCAAATATATTGACATATATTTGAAATACTACAATTTTGGCCGTATTCAATGTATATTTATTTATTTCAGGTACTTGTATAGCATTAGCGCCGTCAATTTACACAGCACCAGGGGCGGACTGACCATTTGGAAACTTGGGCACTGCCCGAGGTCAGTAGGGGGCCCCATGAGATGCCCCTGGTACCTTTTTCATAGGCTTTTTTGAGTTTGGGCAAGGACACAGGGGCCCTATGATCCCCTATTGCCCGGGGGCCCCATGAGTTATCATTCCGCCCCTGATCAGTACCTCTCAATAAAAATCTCCCCCCCAATTCTCCACAAATTCAGCATTAAGCTGCAAGCTTACCACCCCAAACACAAATTCCCTCTGCAAATAAAAATCATCCCAAACAAAGGCACACAAATCCCCCATTCTCCTTCCAGTCTAAATCTCCCCCTCCTGTTGCTGAAATCTTCCCTCTCAGCACAAATCTTTGCCTCCCTCCAAATCTCCACTCCCAGTACAATTCTTCATCCCCGAATTCCCCCGGCCAGCGCAAATCTTTCTTCTGCCCACCAGCACAATTCCCCCTCCCAAAATCACTTATCCCAGCACAAATCATCTCTTCCACCAATCACTACTACTTTTTTGCAGCAGTTAAATGTTCTTCTCCTGAACGCAGAAAAATTGAGGAACGTTTTGACCCAAAAAAGCTAAACGCAGCAAAAACGCATCTAAACGCTAGTCGTGTTTAGCACTTGGGCATCTATTCATGTCGGCGGAAAATACTCTGGCCAATCAAATGAATAAACGTCCAAGCGCTAAACACAGTACTGCGTTTACATGCGTTTTTTGCCGCGTTTAGCGTTTTTCTGCTGGCAGGAGAGCTAAACGTCTAGGGGAGTTCACGTGTACATGAGGCGTTGGACGCACAGGCAGGATTGTTTGTGTCCCTATTGATGATGTTCCCCTTTATTTACTATCCAATCCCTGTAATGACTAATGAAGGGTAATATGTCCATAGCAATGCAATCTGTAAGAAGTTCTAAACTTTCCGTATTTTATCCAAAACGTTAAAAAAAAAAAGAATCACATTTTGGCTGCAGCTTGATGAACAGCAGTTGTGAATTGTTATGTATTTTTAGAAATCACAGGATTGAGGATATTAACAGCTAATTTACAACTCAAGCCAAAGCTTTTCGTTTCTGGTTTTTGACAGGGTGGGGGAAGGGTTATTACTACTGTCATTTTTTTTTTTTTTTTTTTGCAGTCTGTAGTCCTATATGGAAGATCTAAGCTCACTATTTGACCTGCTGGTGTCAGCAGAACAGGGGTCAAGGGAAAATGTTCCAGTGGGGGACACTTAAAATCGCTGACAATTATAATAAGTGGGATTTCCTCTAATTTGCTTCCTTTAAGGAAGTGCAGTGAAATGTCCCAATGGGGACACAGACAGCATTTTGATCCCAAACCAAACTAAACTAAAAAAAAATGTTGGCTTTAGGTAAATTTTAACTTTCTGGCGAATTTACAATTGGCAGATCCCCAAACCTTGTTAGACTTACCGCACATATACATAACCAAGATAATGCAGGGGTTCTTAAATGTTTTATTCTGGAGACCCCAAAGGTCCCTTTCACACGGGCGGACCGATTTGCTCCACCTGTCCAATTTTTCAGGCGAACCTGATAAGGCTGTCCATTGCCCTCTGGAGCGGCGGACGTAAATGGACATGTGTCTGTATCTGCATCTGATCCGATCCGCTAAAAACAGGAATATGGGGGATCTGTTCCCCATCGGTCTAGCAGATCGGATGACAGTCGGATGTAAATGGACAGACAGTTTGTTTCCATCCAACCGCCCATAGAGGAAAGCAGGTTGTGTCTGCTCTGCATGAGTGGAGCGGACACGGACCTGTCATCTGCCTGCTCAGCGTGGATCAGCGGACAGATCCCCCTCTGATTAGGCGCATCCGCTGGCGGAGTCCACCCCTGTGAAAGGGGCCTGATGAGAAAGTTGTTAACATTCTGGGACCCAAAAAGGTAATTTTTTACAAAAATGTTAGAAAAGTGTTTCCTAAACTGATGATGTGAGGCCAGCTAGCTACCTACAGCTATTCTCTTACAAGCTGATTCTTAAAGTGGTTCTAAAGCTAAAATGTTTTTTCACCTTAATGCATTTCCTGAATTAAAGATAGCCATTGGCTCCTGCTGCTGTCAGTCAAATCCTATGAGCAGAGAGCAGGATGTGGGGCAGGGTTGAGCCTCGCTGTGTTTGTCTATGGACACACACAGCCCAGCTCCAGAGCAAGTATGCACGTCTGCCCCATACCAGTGGGGGACCCTAGAAGAGGAGGTTTTGGGTTTTGGGTCATTTTGTGAAATACTATTGCACAGAGCAGGTCAGAACATGGCCAGATGTAGGAGGGTGCTGGAGTGGGCCATGCCCCCCCAGATTTTAGTTGTGCCCCCCCCCCTCCAAAGCGAACCACGACCTTAGACACTCTGACTGACGGCTGAGGCTTACTGCAGACAGCTGCCCTCTCCTTGCAGCTTTGTAAATGTACTGCCCAGCTAAATCGATGATCTGGTCAGCAGGGGGCCCATCGGGGTGGGGAAGTCTGCCTGTACCACTCCCCTGTCTAATCCTGAAGAAGGAACTCTGCTGCCTGTGCCCTGGCTGTGTGCAGTGCTGGGGTGGGAGAAGGAGCTCTGCTGAGTGCCCTGCCAGCAGTGACCCCTGTCCTCTGCCCTGCCAGCAGTGACCCCTGTCCTCTGCCCTGCCAGCAGTGACCCCTGTCCTCTGCCCTGCCAGGAGTGACCCCTGTCCTCTGCCCTGCCAGCAGCGGCCCCTTCCCTCTGCCCTGCCAGCAGTGACCCCTGCCCTCTACCCTGCCAGCAATGACCCCAGTCCTCTGGCTTACCAGCAGTGACCTCTGTCTTCTGCCCTGCCAACAGTGATCTCTGCCCTACCAGCAGTGACCCCTGTCCTCTGCCCTCTAGCATTGACCCCTGTCCTTTGTCCTGCTAGCATTGACCCCTGTCCTCTACCCTGCCAGCAGTGATCTCTGCCCTGCCAGAAGTGACCCCTGTCCTCTACCCTGCCAGCAGTGATCTCTGCCCTCTACCCTGCCAGCAGTGACTCCTGCCCTCTGCCCTGCCAGCAGTGACCCCTGCCCTCTACCCTGCCAGCAATGACCCCAGTCCTCTGGCTTACCAGCAGTGACCTCTGTCTTCTGCCCTGCCAACAGTGATCTCTGCCCTACCAGCAGTGACCCCTGTCCTCTGCCCTGCCAGCAGTGACCCCTGTCCTCTGCCCTGCCAGCAGTGACCCCTGTTCTGTGCCCTGCCAGCAGTGACCCCTGTCCTCTGCCAGCAGTGACCCCTGTCCTCTGCCCTGCCAGCAGTGACCCCTGTCCTCTGCCCTGCCAGCAGTGACCCCTGTCCTTTGCCCTGCCAGCAGTGACCCCTGTCCTTTGCCCTGCCAGCAGTGACCCCTGTCCTTTGCCCTGCCAGCAGTGACCCCTGTCCCCTGCCCTGCCAGCAGTGACCCCTGTCCCCTGCCCTGCCAGCAGTGACCCCTGTCCCCTGCCCTGCCAGCACTGACCCCTGTCCCCTGCTCTGCCAGCACTGACCGTCCCCTGTCTGCCAGCACTGACCGCTGCCCTGCCAGCAGTGAGCACCTGTGCCGGAATGTAAACTGAGTTGGGCCTACACAGCTCGGTGTGAGCAGGCAGGTAGGTTTTATTGTATTGCTAAAGAGACATAGCATGCCTCTTCTGCAATCAGGAGCCTGCCTGCTTGCAGGTTTATCATCTAATTGAATGTTCCATTTTAAGCTGGCCATATACTATACAATCTGGTTGTACTATCCCCTTTAGATTTACCAAAACTTTATAATAAACCCAAACAATCCATCCAATTAGCATAAAATCAGACAGGCCTTTGTACTCATAATTAATGGCAGACCCAAAGGAGATTGTACAATCAGATTGTATAGTGTATGGACCACCTTTAGGTTAACCAAATTAGGTTTCCCTTGTTCGGCCCCCTGAGGGCTGAACACATCAAATCGGTTAATTCGGCATCCTAGTAGGCGCAGTCACTGTTTGGATAACAATTTTCCACCCAGCTTCTCAGTTTTAAAATTTAAGTCATATTTGGCCAGCCTTTTCTTTGCAAATGTTTTTTTTTTTTTTTACGTTTCCTGCTTTGGGGTTGTGCTGTAGTTCCCTGTGTGTGCTCTCATACATAGCTAGTGTTCTATCATTCACCAGTGGTCCGCTAAATGAATGTGTAAACACCAAGGGTTCTATTTATTAACAATTTGCTGCACGAATTAATCAAAAATCAAAAATATTGGCTGTATACAGGCGTACCTCCGTTTACAAATTTAATGCGTTCTGCGGGATTTTTCGCATTGTGAAAAATTTGTAAACTGAAACGCAGTTTCCCATAGGAATACATTGAAAACCAATTAATCCGTTCCAGAGGTCAGAAAAAAGTCAGAAAAAAGTCTTATCTAGTCAAAACTCTTTATGAAGTGCACTTTAAAGGCATAAATACTGTACAGGGACATGATTAAAAATGAATTTGTAAATGCATTGAAAATCAATTAATCCATTCCGGAAATCAGAAAAAAGTAAAAAAAAAAGTCTTATCTGTTCAAAACTTTTTATAAAATGCACTTTAAAGGAATAAATACTTTACAGGGACATGATTAAAAATGAATTCGTAAATGCATTGAAAACCAATTAATTCGTTCCGGAGGTCAGAAAAAAGTAAGAAAAAAGTCTTATCTGGTCAAAACTCTTTATAAAGTGCACTTTAGAGGCATAAATACTGTACAGGGACATGATTAAAAAAAAAATTGTAAATGCATTGAAAACCAATTAATCCGTTCGTATTGCAAAAGAAATTCATAAACTGAGGCATTATTTTCAATGGATTTTCATTCGTAAACCGAAAATTACGTTAACCGAGGTGTTCATAAACCGAGGTACGCCTGTACTATGTTAAATATATGTAAAGCGAGGCGTGAATTGAGAGCATTATATAAATAAATAAAATAAATAATTATGATCATCAGCTCCATCTAGTGGACATAATGCAGTATTTTCCCAGTTTAGGCATTTCGAGAAAATACCACATTATGGCCATTAGATGGAGCTGACGATCAGAATAAATATGTTATTTAAGGCAATTATTCATGATGTCTGTGAGAATGCTTGAGGAATTCACACAGCAAATTTTTTATATATAGACCCCCAAAGTCAAATGGTGACCCACCACAAACACATCCACAACCCAGTTGGTGTCCTGAAACCCTGAACTAGAAGATTTATTTGTATTATTCTGGCTGTTTTGGATGTCTGTGATCAGTATGTGCGATGATCAGATGAAACGCCATCAGAGTGGGACGGTATATAGTGTAATGTATGCACTGTGAACATCTGAAAGCGCCTGACCAAAACACGCAGACCCGTGTAGATACAAAGCATGAAAATGTGTCTGTGGCCCAGAGCGGTTGAAGAGAAGCGACCACGAGAGCAGATACAATCAGGTTCTCATCTCACAGGACGAGTTGTGGGAATTTTGTAGCGTGCGTGGGTAGAGTGTGAACACGGGGAGAGGAAGTGGAAGGAAAACAGAAGTGAAGTGGTGATACGGTGAAGACCACAGGAGAAGAGAAGGATGGATCGCCTTCTATCCAGGGAAGCAGCTTAGATTACAGGCTCATCCCCTTAGCCAAAGATATGGATGGAAAACACCTGCACCACATCTGCACAGCAACATTCAATCTTCAATCAAAGTTTTTACCTTCTTTTTTTTTTTTTTTTTTCTTTAGTTTTTTTTTTTGTTTTTCTTGTTAAGATGACCCAAGTAGAGAGTGAAGGAAAGTCTGGATGAGATTAAACAGCACTTTCTAAAACTAATTTTCCAAGGACATTTAGGGGTTTATTTACCGTATTTTTCGCCGTATAAGACGCACTTGACCATAAGACGCACCTAGGTTTTAGAGGCAGAAAACAGGAAAAAAAAAATTCTGAACTAATGGACTGCAGACACAGTACAGGAGATGACCAGAGACTGCGGACAGTACAGGGATGACCAGAGACTGCGGACAGTACAGGGATGACCAGAGACTGCGGACAGTACAGGGATGACCAGAGACTGCGGACAGTACAGGGATGACCAGAGACTGCGGACAGTACAGGGATGACCAGAGACTGCGGACACAGTACAGGGATGACCAGAGACTGCGGACAGTACAGGGATGACCAGAGACTGTGGACAGCACAGGGATGACCAGAGACTGCGGACAGTACAGGGATGACCAGAGACTGCGGACAGCACAGGGATGACAGAGACTGCAGACAGTACAGATGACTGCTGACCTTTGGGGAGGTGGGGAGCGGGTACCTGAATTTGACAGGTACCCGCTCTTACTTCCGCAGAGTTTTTGTTTGATCTTACCTGTTCCTCAATCCAGTTTTAGGTTCCGTGCACACGGGGTGTTTTAGGCTCTATTCACACGGGGTGTTTTAGTTTTGCACACGGGGTCTCGGTGCACACGGGGTGTTTTGGGCTCCATTCACACGGGTGTTTTGGGCTCCGTTCACACGGGGTGTTTTGGGCTCCTTTCACACGGGGTGTTTTGGGCTCCTTTCACACGGGGTGTTTTGGGCTCCTTTCACACGGGGTGTTTTGGGCTCCTTTCACACGGGGTGTTTTGGGCTCCTTTCACACGGGGTGTTTTTGACAACGCTGGTAACGTTAGCTGTGTAAAGTCACATTAAAAACATGAGTTTTTCCCAGCTTTTTTAAGCTTTTTTGCATTAGCGTCTAGTGGTGTTTTGCCATATTTGCATATTTTAGCTTTTTTTTTTTTTTTTACCGAAAAAATTTTTGTTTTCTTTAAAAAAAAAAGTCCAAAAATGCCGGTTTGCGGTGTTTTACCGCATTTTTTTTTTTTTTTCAGCGTTTTTCAGTGTTAGAGCGTTTTTACAGCAAAAAAACTCCTCTGGAAACTCACTTGTCCGGGTTTTTTTTTCTAGCCAAAAAAAGTCCCAGCCAAAAAACGTTGATTACAGTCTATGTGTATGGACACATAGGATAAAATGCTGGGGGGTTTACTGGCTGTGGAAAAAAATCTCAAAAGCCAAAAACAGCCGCTGTAAAAACGTCCCGTGTCCTCATGCACACTGGATGTTTTGATAATGCTGGTAACATTAACTGTGTAAAGTCACATTAAAAACTTGAGTTTTTTTATCGTTTTTTACAGTAGTGTTTAGTGGCGTTTTGCTGCGTTTAGCAGCGTTTTCCCACCTTTTTCTGTGTTTGCGTTTATTTACCAAAAAAAAATTTCTTATGGTAAAAAAAAGTCCAAAAACGCCGCTTTGCGGTGTTTTACCACATTTTTCAGTATTAGAGCGTTTTTACAGCTAAAAAAAGCTCCTGTAGAAACCCACTGGTTCTGTTTTTTTTTTCCAACCAAAAAAACATTGATTACAGCAGTGGTCGGCAAGCCGCGGCTCGCGAGCCACATGCGGCTCTTTACACATTTTAATGCGGCTCTTCTGTGTGCCGGGCGCTCGTTCCCCTCCCCTCCCTCCTCTCCCTCCTCTCAGGCGGCCGCTCCCCTCCCCTCCCTCCTCTCGGGTGGCCGAGGACTCTGCAGCTAGCCCAGCAATGATTGGCCAGTCTCGCTGCCACTCACATCCTGATAGCTAGTGATTGGCTGTCAGGATGTGTGCAGGCGGGGCAGCGTGACGAACGTGAGGGGAGCTAGGCTCCTCTCACAGTCCGCCCTGAAGACCGGAACGGCGCGGGGAGCACGGCGAGAGGAACGCGCGGAGCAAAGGTAAGTGAATTGACACAGGAGGGACTTGACTTACTACTTCCTACTTACTTACTACTACTATATGAGGGATGAATTAATATGGGGGATGTATTACTATGGGGGATGAATTACTATATGGGGGAGGAATTACTATGGGGGATGAATTACTATGGGGGATGAATTACTATGGGGGATGAATTACTATATGGGGGATGAATTACTATATGGGGGATGAATTAATATGGGGGATGAATTACTATGGGGGATGAATTACTATATGGGGGATGAATTACTATGGGGGATGCATTACTATATGGGGGATGAATTACTATATGGGGGATGTATTACTATGGGGGATGAATTACTATATGGGGGAGGAATTACTATGGGGGATGAATTACTATGGGGGATGAATTACTATGGGGGATGAATTACTATATGGGGGATGAATTACTATGGGGGATGAATTACTATGGGGGATGAATTACTATATGGGGGATGAATTACTATATGGGGGATGAATTACTATAGGGGGGATGAATTACTATGGGGGATGAATTACTATGGGGGATGAATTACTATATGGGGGATGAATTAATATGGGGGATGAATTACTATAGGGGGGATGAATTACTATATGGGGGATGAATTACTATATGGGGGATGAATTACTATATGGGGGATGAATTACTATAAAAACTTATTAAAACTAAAAACAGTGTACCATCCTATGTATTTTCAGTTTTAAAAATGTGGCTCTCAAAATAAATTTCAATCGTGGTTTTGGCGAGATTTGGCTCAGTTGAAAAAAAAGGTTGCCCACCACTGGATTACAGTGTATGTGTGCATGGACACATGCTGGGGGGTTTACTGGCTGTAGAAAAAAACCATCAAAAGCCAAAAACAGCCGCTGTAAAAACTTCCAGTGTGCATGAGGACTAACCCTAAGTTCACACCTGTGCGGGTGGTGCCTCTACGGATCTGCACAAAAATCCACCACCCGCACAGAGAAATGCGGACCCGCGGGCGGGTGCCATTAATTCTAATGGCACGCCGCCCACACTGGAAAACTCATCCGTACTGAGAACCGAGGTTCCAGTGCGGGCTGCATTTTCCAAAGAAGTGCAGGGACTTCTTCCCTGCACGTTACGGGCACAGGAGTCCATTCACACAGAGTCTGTAGGGGGCCCCATGAGATGCCCCTGGTACCTTTTTCATAGGCTTTTTTTGAGTTTGGGCAAGGGGGCCCCATGAGTTGTCAGTCCGCCCCTGCTCCCACCCCCATTCTAAGTCTATTCTACCTACCCTGTAAAAGGGAAGATGTCTGTACTTTTCTATTCTGAAGTCTCTCTGGTGCGAACCCAAGGCCGGGCTGCCTCAGTGTGGAGGAGGGACAACTGACAATGGATGCCCCATAGTAAGCCTATGGGTGACGTCATCTCCCATGCTCTGCAGCCGCTGTCGGCGATCTCTGTGAATCCGGCACTAGAGAGATCATGTGACCTGCCAAGCGTGACTTCAGAATAGGTAGGTATAGACATCTTTCCTTTAACAGGGTAGATAGAATAGGTTTAGAAAGGGGGTGGGAGTAGATTTAAGCTCAGTTAGGCCTTCCACTTTATTATGTTACGGGAAGGGACTGTGCAAAACAAATAATGCTGTTATACTGCTATTGACAGACAGCAGAATTTACGTCATTTTTAATTTTGACCATCGCTCCACTTTAACCACTTGCCAACCACCCTGTAGGAGGAATCACGTATATGTGCAAGATTCTGAATTTCCGGGTAGGGGGGCACGCACGTGCTGTCCTACCCACACTGTCATTGGCTCCTATAGGTGTTATTCACTAGGCTCAGGGACTCGGCGATCAGTGGGGCAGCTGACAGGAGAGAGATCTGTGAGTGTGAAACAACACAGATCTCTCTCCTGTCAGTGGGGATGTGCTGGTTTTTATCTGCTTGCAAAACAAGGAGATAAAAACCAGCACCTCCCCTAGTAAAAGACAACACAGTATACAGTTAAACCACTCCCTAACACACAGATAATTTGATCGCCCGGATGTTAACCTCTTCCTGCCCAGTGTCATTAGTACAGTGTCAGTGCTTTTTATTAGCACTGATCACTGTATTAGTGTCACTGAACATGTCAGTGGCAGTTAGTCAGTTCCCTCCCAGCATCAGTTAGTGTCAGAATACCCACCGTAATATCTCAGTCCTGCTATAGGTTGCTGATCACCACCATTACTAGTATAAAAAAAGAAATAAAAATTCCAGTATATATACTATAGTTTGTAGACAATATAACTTTCACACAAACTAATTAACATACACAAATTGGGATTTTTTTTTTTTTACCAAAGGTATGTAGCAGAATACATTTTTGGTCTAAATTTATGAAGAATTTTTTTTAATTATCTTTTTATTTGATATGTTTTATAGCAAAAAGTCAAAAATATAGTTTGTTTTATTCATTTTTCACTTTTTAAATTTTTCATTTATAGCGCAAAAAATAAAATACCCAGTGATGATCAAATACCACCAAAATAAATCTCTATTTGTGCTGTATAGCAAAAAAATGGCCTGGTCAGGAAGGGGAGCAAATCTTCCGGAAGGCAAGTGGTTAAACTACCATCATTTTTCATGCCTGATATAAAGCTGAATTTATAAAGCTGTTTTTGTCTTGTTCGGACATAAAACTGAACTCCGAGAACAAAAATGTTAATTCAAAGATAATTCCATAATAGCCAATACAGGTATAAATCCATTTTGTGTTCACCAAATGCCCTTTCAAATCCAGTTATTACTATGTAAAATTAACAGTGACATCATCACTATGTTTACAGAAAGCAGAGCTGTGGGAGGGATCCAGCAGGCTCCACCTACTTCAGGCTGCCTAAAAATAAAACTACAGGGGAGGCGGAGACAAGACCAGTGATCCTGCACATGTATAGAGATCAGCAGTGACTGGTCTTCATTACAGGAATCTCCTATAGAGAGACAAAGTGTCACACTGCATAACTGCACAGATCTGGAAGAAATACACAAAGAAGACCAAGATTCAAGGAATAATACATATACCTCTTGTGTTAACCAATACTTGCTTTTCCAAGAGTTCAAAAGGGAAGGCTGGAGGTCAGTTTTAAATCTGATCTTGCAGTTTTACAAGCTCCTCTCCTGTACTGAAAATGCTTAATTTGGTCTCAGTGCACACTGTGAGCTTCTCACAATGTGCATTAGAAGCTGCAGCAAGTCATATAGAGCCCATCTCATTTACTGGCTGGAACATGCCCAACATCATCTAGCTCTTCCCTCCCTAGCCTTGCTGTTGTTGGCTCGGTCTTTTCATTAATTGGATTTCAGTTCAATCATATTCCATCCCCTCCTGCATCCCATTACTAGATTGTATTTATGGTGTCATCATAGGGGGGGACACAAAACAGAAAGAGCTGCCCATGATAGCTTACACCTCTGTATGGTGACCACCTGGCAGCCATACAGTCATATTAAAAAATGCATGGAGAAATGGGTGTAGGGAAAAGAGCTGGCCAGACACTAGAGAATTGCCATCAGACTTTCCTAGCGCATCATTGCAGGTCCCCAGTGTATGCTGTCATGAAGATGCACCAGGAAAGGAAAATTACGGAACGGTGACTATACAATTTTCCATTTTTTTTTTTTTTTTAAGAGCATTCGTTCGATTTTTGAATTAGTTAGTGAGGTTAAATCAATGTTCCTTTTTTACGTCATGTCAACATTTGAAAAAAGAGGATGGAAATTTTCTCTTGAACAAATTTCTAATAATGAATGTGGTTTTTCCTTCGGGGACATGCACTTTATTCAGAATCGAATGTTAAAGTGTAACTAAAGGCAAAACGTTTTTTTTTTTTCTTTTTAGTTTTGGATGGGGTAGAGAGGGATTAGAACCCCTGTCAGATTTTATTGCTGCCGGTGTCCCTGTTAAGGAGATTCACTCTCTCTATTTGTCCTGTTTACCATTATCATTGAAAGTAAAAGAAAATCCCAAATTTTGGGTTGTCCCCAGAAAAGAGGGGAAATCTTCCACTGGGGACGCTGCTTCTGGTGACCTGGGGGGATTCCTTTAATTTGCAGGGATTTCCTCACACTTCCTTTTTGGCTATGGGACAGGAAGTGAAGGGAAATCTCCGAAATGGGACACAGATGACAAACAAAAATCTGACGGGTTTATAGCCCTCCCTTGTTCTATCCAAAAAGAGAAAATAAAGTTTTGCAACATTAAGTCCATCCATCAAATACCTTGAGATGTTTTGTACAAATTTACATTCAACCAGTTTTAGGGCTCAGTTACACTTGCGGCAGTAAAACCCTGCAGTTGAGCTGTGGTTTTACTGCTTCTCAACCACTCTGCCTTTAGCTGTAGAGACAGCAGCCGGGGTGTACATATGCTGCGCCCACATTAGGAATTATACCCCTATCGCAGGCGATGCTACCTGCCGAACACTACCCAGACAAGTTAATGGGGCTGCTCTGCAAATGCATGCAATGCAGCACATTATTGCAGACTTCAAGGGGTTAAAGAGTAAGGAGAGGATACAGTACCTCCTCACCACCTCTCAAATGCTCTCTGAAGAGTGATCTGAATGTAGATCTCTCATCAACGAGCAAAGCTTGTGTGAACGAGCCCTAAGTGCTATTTCATCCCTAGCTGAGTTGTCTCGCATTGTTGGAAGGATAAATCTACTTTATGCCTTTTCTACACAAACTGATCCTCCAGGATCCCATAACACCTTGTGACATGATCAGTAATCTAGTTATAGGATGATTAGCCAACCAGAATCCTCAGCAAAGATAATATGATCCTCCCCTACAACAATGATCTCTTGATCAACTGCCTAGTGAGAATGCATTTAAAGACCACTGTTTGATGTTATGGCCTTCAGGGAGTGCTATAGGGAGTCTCCATGAAGGGTAACATTTAGATGACTACAGAAAACTCTAAGAAAAAAACATTTTTTTATTGTCATGATCCCCACTATTTGAACCATACTCACTTGACCGCTCTGAAACTGGGGAAGTGCATTAAACTGCTGACAAGCTACATTCCAACTTTAAGACTTTAGCACGGCAGAGCACTTTACAGTCAAACTTTTCAATTTATATGCATGTTTATGAGTCTTACTTTTCCACTCATTTCCATTTAATTGGATCAGCACTTTTATTGAAGAAATTCCACCGGCTAATATGCTCATTAAATCCGATAATATGCAGGAGCGGTACCTTATACAGGATACGCCGCTGTTTCTGCAGTTTTAATGTAGGCTAGATTTATTTTCTGTTTGCTTAGGGATTCGGATATAAAAAAAAAGTGGATAATGTAGGAAGTAGTGCAATGTTAGTGTATAGGACACCCCATACAGGCTCAGGTCAAATAACGATGGCGGAGGCTTCTCCAGATTCATCGAAGGCTCTTGCTTGGGCCATAAGGGTTTATCAAACAAATGGTTCAATACTCATACAGTGCTCAGCATCCATGAGTACACCCTTTTTGGAAAGTAAGATTTTAATCAATATCTCAATGAACATAGAAAAAATTTCCAAAATTTTGCAGAACTGAGTTTTATAGAACATTTGTTTAGCTCATTACATGAAAGTAAGGTTATTAATATAACTTAGATTACAAAATCTTCAGTTCTACTCAAATTAGTTGATGCAAAAATGAATACACCCACAAACAAAAACTACATATATAATTTTTGTATCACCTCCATGATTTGTAAGGACAACACCGGGTCTTCTAGGCATGGAATGAACAAGTTGGCGACATATTAAAACATCTATCTTTTTCCACTCTTCAAGAACAACCTCTTTTAAAGCCTGGATGCTGGGTGGAGAGTGATCAACTTGTCTCTTCAGAATTCCCCATAGGTGTTCGATTGGGTTCAGGAGATCAGGAGATATTCTTAGCCACTGAATCACTTTCATCCTGTTCTTCTTCAGAAATGCAACAGTCATTGTCATGTTGGAAAAGTGCATGACGACCAAGGGCATGGAGTGATGGTAGCATCTTCTCTTTCAATATAGAGCAGTACATCTGTGAATTCATGATACCATCAATGAAATGCAGCTTCCCGACACCAGCACCACTAATGCAGCCCCACAGAAGGACACTGCCACCACCATGTTTCACTTTAGGCACCATGCATTTTTCTGAAAGTTCTGCTTTTGAAGCATCAGTTTCAAATACATTAATCTTGGTCTCATCACTCCAGAGTACAGAGTCCCAGTAGTCTTCTTTTTCAGCATGGGCCCTGCCTAATTCTAAGTGGGCTTTTTTGTGCATGAACTTTAGGAGAGGCTTCCTTCATGGACGACACCCATGCACGCCATTCCTCTGCAGTGTATGTCGTATTGTGCCACGGGGAAAC